TATTTAGATTATATTTATTTAATAAAAAAAAATAATTGATATATATCAGCCTTACAAGATTGTAAGTTTCCGAATCTTGCTACTTGGAAGCTACATATCATAAGATTCTGGTGAGAGACATATTCATGAGCACCAACTTATACCAAAATAATCCTCACCTATAATAGAAATAAAGACAATAGCCTCAGAAGGTGCTCTAAGAAGAATAGGCCAATTATGATAAGAGGTAGGCGCCTATTGATCTTTATGTACCGGCCAGGTATTTACAACCCTGTACAAAGACTATTAATCACTATACCTTAAATGTATCCTAAAATGCAAGAAAGGGATATAGTATTAATAGCCAGGCTGTCCACGACTATATGTGATCTTATTTTTTTATACAGAATCTAGAATTATTTTGTATGCAATATGCCCTATGGTGTAAGAAAAACATCTAAAAGAAAACAAAAAAACAAAAAAAATCGAATAAATAAACAATCAGTGATCACATGATGATCAGATGATGACCAATAGAAATATATTAATCTTGTAAATAGAAAAAATTCGGAATAAGAAAAGTGATAATAATATATATATAAAATGGTTCTATTAAACTATATGTTTTTTTGATAGACGAATATTTTTTATTATTATCACAAAGTCGATTTGTATAATAAAATTTCTCGTAAAATATGATTTTTGTTTGATAACATGTGACTTTGAACTGATTAAATTTCCTAATTAAGAAAACCGGCATAGTAATTAAAATTACTATAAATAGACCAGAAGTCTAAAAAAAAACAAAAACAAATTAATTAAAAAAAACCACCAAAAATTATGTCTGGGAATTATAAATTTAGACATGTTATATCAACTATATACTACTGTGTTCCTTGTTTGATGTATTTTAAATGTAAGAAAAACATGACCGAAAAAGAAAAAATTGAACATGAAGAAGAATATTTTAAAACTGGTGTTGTTCCAACATGTGACAGATGTAAGAAACAACATTGGCGATGTAAGCTAGCATCCTGCGATCAATGCTGTAAACTGAACGAATGCAACAAGATTAGATGTTCTTATTGTAAAGAATCAAATATAAAATGTCAACGTGTCCTGCCAAAGACAAAAGAGAAATTTGCTATGTTGAAGAAACTTGGTTTGATATACGTCTCTGGACAGTATGAAGCTACTGATTCAGGAAAATTTTATGAGCAAGCTTATTTTCAATTCGATAAACGCCAAACTATAACTGGTATAAAGAAGTTATTTAATCATAGTACGATAAATTTTCTAAAATTTTTGAACAGTGATTCAGAACAGAATCGTGATTACAGCCAAAAAAAATAGAATCGATGCAAGAATCTCAAACATAAAAAAAAGTGTCGTTGCGATTTCTAAGAGAGAGAAAAAATTTGCAACGTGTGCAACAAGGATTGTATTGAAAAAACATACACTTGCACGTTGGAAAGCTTCTGAATTATCAAGTAAAGAGAATGGTTTTTGGGCCTTTGAAAATTATCGCTACTTATCAAATGCAGATGAATTTACAAACAAAGATGAGATTAATGAGAAACGACTTGAGAATATCAAGAGAATTAAGCATATTGTTAAGAATGATTTAACAGTTAAAGATGTTTTAAAGAACAAGAAAGAATTACTATCTCGTAGCTGGTTACGAAGTTTAAAAGATTTAGAGCACTTGATCAAAAAGAAAAAGGAAAGTCGAAAAAAATCATTCAAGAGGTGTTTTACTCCTTGCAACATCTATATTTATGGTGACTTGAGAACGGGAAAGGATTACTTGACACAAATACTTTTTCCTGACACATATCACAAGTTGCAAAATAACAGAAAATGGTTTGAGGGATATGACAAAAATAAAGTTTTTGTATTTGATAATTTTTATAGTCACAACATGAAATTTTCGACTCTGTTGACATTAATTGATAACAAACCACATACCGTGCAGAAAAAAGGTAGGCATCTAAATTTTTGTTCGTTTGTAAATATATTCACGTCAAATACATCTTTGCGAAATCAATATGTCTATTTCGAAGATACCCTATATTTTGGAAATGAGACTGTTAAAATAGAAAACAAAAGAAAATATTCTTCAATTTATAATCGATTTGACTATATTATTAAGTACAAAAAGTTTAGAAATAATGATATACGCCCTTGTGCATTTGAGTGTCTTTGTTGTTCAGTAAAAAGAATTTTTCATAAAGGCTCATATGAAGATTTTGTCAATTTTTGATTTGATATCGAATTCAATTCCGATGTTACTCTCGAACAAATTGCTTATATAATTAGAGATCATAATTCATTAGAAGACGGCAAAGGAATTCGATACTATAACTATAATTTTAATTCACAAATTGACAAATTTGAATTAATAGACTATAGAATTGAGAATGATAAATATGTTGATACGATCATATATCCTGAAGTAAGAAGAAAATTAGAAAATAGATTATATAGAACTAAAAGAAAAAAAATATAATTCAAAGGTTATGTCGAGAATAAACTTGATTATGTAATTGAAGATTTAAATAATAATGAAAAATATGATTCAGATGCATCAATATCTTCATTGTCTTCTAATGATTCTGAGACAACAAGATGTAGAAAAAAGAAAAGGCTGTTTGTATAGAAAACTAAATTTGTTATATAATATAAAATAAAAATTATAAAAGGACCAATTTTTTTCTTGCTAATTTTTTAAAAATGGCTAAATCTGGAATTGAAAATATATACTATGATGTCTCGATAAAATCTTGGGTTTACAAAAAACAAGTCAATAATAAAATTTACAGAAACCATTTTGGAAAATGGTTTGGAAGTAATGATAATGTTTTAAACTATACAATCAAATATAAAAAACAATATGAGGCCAAGCTAAAAGACATAACAAATACTGTCGAATACAAAAACATCAAACCGAAATTACAAGATTCAACCAAACACAAAATTAATTTTATAATTAACTAATGTCAAACTGGCAAGAAAAATTTAAAGATTTCGAAATCTTAATGAATTGGAAAAAATACAAGAATCCAGATAAACCAAGACTTAAACTGAATGAATATCGCCTCGTAAAAATCAATTTTACAATCTACTTGGAAGTTAAAACTCAAAAACCTGAGATCACTTTTCTACTCGATAAGGAGAATTTTAATCTTTTGCAAAATTATACTTGATATTGTGATAAACACAGAAATACATTTTATGTTCGAACAGGAAAAAATTTAAAACTTCATCGGTTGATTTGTTCTAAGTTTAAAATGATTGACCATATTAACAGGAACAGTCTCGATAATAGAAAAATTAATCTTAAAGAAACAACACCATGAGAAAATCAATTAAATTGTAAATTAAGTAAAAATAATACTTCGGGCTATAATGGAATTTGTTTTGATAAATTTCATAATTGTTGGATATTTCTTTATAGTGAAAATAACAAACAAAAATATAAATGTTTTTATATCAACAAAAAAGAACTTCTGAACAAACAAAACAACAAGCTATTCAATTCAAATTAGAGCACGATAAAAAAACAGGAAATCACAATAGATATCCAGTAACTTTTTAATTATATATTTATTACTTTCTTTGATTATATTGTATAATAAATTATAATTGTTATTTTAAATAATAAACATAATACATTTTCTGTCAAATTTCAAAAATACAAAAAAAAGTAAATATAGTCCAAAATAAATTGTGATAACATTTACAAAAAGTATTTCTACAACCCTAATTCTCTTCATTTCAGTGAGATTTACGTATGGGATAACAAAAATGGGCTACAAGAACTTTCTATAAATTATTTTAACATAATAAAATATGATAGGTATATTGAAAAAATTATAAAATCTCAACAAATTCACAATATTTGTTGTGTATTGATTATTGAATCAAAACAATGTTCCAATATTATTAAATAAACTAAAAATATAGTTTGAAATAAAATCATCAAATTTCTTGATATTTGCTGCTTTGTAATGATCCCTTTCATCTTCAGTATCCCTCAAAATGATCTTCAACGTGTTATTTAATTGTGTCAGATTTTCATTTGCTGCATGAATCTGAATATTATTTGCTTCAAATTGATTTCTCTCAGTTACAAGTTCCTCATTTCTACTTCTCAATTCATTTTTATCAGCATTTAAAGCACGTATTCTTTGTTCTAATTCATTAACTTTTATTGTTAATCTGGAGTTTTCTGCAATTACTATTTCACTTTCCGTAATTTTCGGTTCTATTTTTGTTAAAACTCATTTTTCATGACCTCAATTTATTTTTATACCCTATTCCAAAAGAATTCAAAAATATAAATTTACCAAAACTTTGATATCCCATATTTCAATTAAAATATATATAAACTCACTATTTTTTTTAAGGGAAACTAAATGGAGGTTTTAAAGGTAAGAGAGCTCCAAACTGTATTTTGTTCAGGAATTCGCTTCTTTTACTTGATACTAACTCTCACTGGACTGACTATTGTTGATCAATCGACCGACTGACTGATTTATAGATGTCAAAAACCAAACCAAGATATTATGCTGTACGAAAAGAACGTAAAACAGGAATATATTTAACTTGAGATGAATGCAAAGTGCAAGTTAATAAATTTCATAATGCTATGTATAAAAAATTCCTTACTCATATCGAAGCTCAAAATTTTATTGAAGGAAAATGTGAAGTTTCTGTAACTTTAAACGATAGTAAAATTCAAATTTAGACAGATGGATCATCATTTAATAATAGTACAACAAAAGCTCAAGCGGGTATTGGAGTATTCTGGAAGGACGATGATCCTAATAATTTAAGTGAAAGATTACCTGGATCAGAACAAACTAACAATCGTGCAGAAATATATGCTGTGATTAGAGCTCTTGAAGTTTGTGAAAATAAAACAAAACCTTTAGAAATAATGACAGATAGTAAATATGCAATTAATATAATTGAAGATTGGGTTGAAAAATGGGAAAAAAATGGTTATATGAGTTATAATAATACACCAGTCAAAAATCAAGATTTAATCAAAAGGTTAAAAAAACTTATTGATAATAGAATAGGTATTGTTCGATTAATTCATGTTAGAGGTCATTGGGGAAATTATGGTAATGAACAAGCTGATAGATTAGCTAAACTTGGATTATTACAAGAAGCGACAGAAGAAAATTTTAAATTAGAAACTTATTCCAAACATATTACTGATTATTTTAACAAAAAATAAATATTTATTAAAAAATTTGATATTTATAATTAAGATAATAAATAAAAGAATTTCGAAAATGAGACATTGATTAGAAACAATTCAACTTGTTTGAATTGTTTATCATCAACTCGAGGCGTTCGAAATTCTTTCACACTTCTACACTAAAGAGAGAGGGAGTGAGAGAGAGAGACTGATAGTCAGTCCAAATTTTTTGTTTGAGATGTTTGTTACAATGATTTAAGGTGAGACAGGGTCATAGCCGTATCATCAATGTCAAAGACATCAACGATTCGGAAACCTTAAATCATCATACGAACAGAGCAAACTTCTTTTTACTAATCACCCATAAGCAATTGCGAGGCTAGCGGTATGTCAAAAAAAAAAAGCTCTCAACAAGGCAAAAAGTTTAATTATAATCTAATCAGTTTAAAATTTATTATTTTTATTTTATTAATAAAAAATTATAA